TTCTGGCCCACATCCTCCTCCATTGTGAACTTGTCGCACATACGGCCGGAGAACTTCTCGCGCCGGACGAAGCTGAAGTTGGCCACGTTGGGCACCATCGGCTGCGCGTGCATGGGCGCCTCGACACTACCGGGGGTCTGAGGGAACAGCAGGTCAGTGGGGTGGGACGGCCGCCACAGCAGAGCGGGAGCTGTAACACCGATCGTGCCGAGTCCGGAGAGAGTGAAGGATATCAGCTACGCAATAGCATAGTAGTAAGATGAAAGCGAGCAGGAAATCAAGAGCCGAGAATCGTCAAAATCTGAAACGACCCCGTAACTCAGTACTTTCGGCGAATAAAACGTTCAAAGTTTCTCCGTGTAACACAGACACATGCTATCAGGATTGCTGCAGGAGACGCAATTATGATGAGAAACAGCACATATAACTTACGTAAGTACGGTGTAGAAAACTGAAAGGAGTGCTTACCTTGAAACACATCATCTTGTTATAGACCTTGCCATCAACGGTGACAGGCATGATTTTGAACGAGCTACCCCCGTCCTTGCCGCCCATCTGATAGGTCTTCATGACGCCTGCAAGACGTGCCGTGTGAATTATTTGTGCTGGTTATGTCAGGCATTACCAACATGTTCCAGCTCATTGCTAACTGAATCAAACGTAGATTTCATAAGAAAGATTGCAAGATACCTGTAACCCGTGCGTGTTTTCATCGAGATCGATAAATAGCAGATGATGGAGCCCAACTACTCCCTCCATTAACTCTGCACCAGCACGGCATGCTCCTCATCTCACCGTTGTAGTAGTCGAGTCGGCTATTGTCGGCCTTCAGGTCCACCCAGGCCGAGAAGGGCTCGTGCAGCTCGGCGTACGGCAGGTGCAGGATGCCGGAGGTGATGTAGCGGTCCGGCATCGGCTTCGGCGGGTCGCCCGGAGAGTAGCCGGCGGCACCTGCATCATACCCACCGTCAACAAGGTGCGAAATAAATAATCGTCGATTCAACTCTCCTGGGCAAACCATGACTGGAAATTTGCAGATTCCGTCGCAAAAGCCCTTCCCTCAACGAGAATTTCTGATGAATCATGACTCAAATGAGCAAAGGGTGAAGACAGAGGTAGATAGAACACTCGGCAGTCGGTCGGGCACTGCACTCGTGGATTTAGGTGCTTCTGGTCCGGGAAACGAGACTAATTTGTAAGGCTCAAATATCTTGAATTTATGGATTACTGACCAAGCCAGAGCCGGCAAAGCAAAGCTCGTGCAGACAGTGACCTCTGACGCCCGATCGTAGTCCCGGAACGTCGGGGGTTAAGGTCTAATATCAGTAGCGAATAACCAAGGCCGGCCCAACATATGACTCTCACTGTCATATGGGGAGCAGAAGCGACCGGGCTGGGCCAGGCCGACGCACAAACTGACGAAAGTCTTAACTTGAATTACGCTTGCGAGACGAAGGAGGAAACGCTGCCCTACCCATTAATGTTTCGCTGAAGAATAAAGATAACACTTGTATCAACACAGAAACAAGACAACACCTCAAGTCTCAACCGATAGAATATTATGGAGGAGCCAGTGTTCACACTTCACAGGCAAGACCAAGGCACGGGTATAAATGTCAAAATGAGTGCTCATAAGCTTTATTTTTTCACATTTGAAGTAGACTAGTAGCAAATCATGCTGTCAGTGATTGGCAGTTGGCATCCAAAAATGGGCACTATGCTCGGGACCGGGACTGGGACAGCGAGACTTGAGAAGCCGAGGTCGGCGTCCCACGCGGTCGGTTCGGAATCGGGGGCTAACAGGAACTAGGAAGTAGAATATTGAAGATACATACATGTTAACAGCAGAAGTAGAGCCCCAAACTGCAGATCCATTCTGTAAAAGAAAAAAGCACCACTTCAGCTGCTAAATGTCCAGGACCTAGGTAGGTACTCGTCCACGTCACAGCGGGCTGACATGGAGTAGTGATCATGATCATGATGTTACAGTTCCAGTTCAAGTAGTCGGGGGCCTTTACAAACTGAAATGGTCGCAAACCATTCAGCATGAACACTGGTGAAAACACCAACTGTCTACTGGAGCACACCTGCAAACAGACTGCTAGATTACCCAGGAACGTTGCGCGAGAATCCCCCACCGACTTGGGTCACGAACTGAAATGAGGATTTGAAAACAACGAAAACAACACGGGAGTGAATGACCTTGAACTCACAATAGTGAAAAAAAGAGTGCCAATATTTCATCCCTTCAGGTAAAAACTTCAATTAGTGTTAAGAAGAAATCGCATTACGAGTAAAATCTGTAAATCTTCATTCAAATTTTATTATGAAAGATAATTATAGTCCGACATTGTGTAACAAAAAATATTAGAAAATGTTATGTCATAAAATATAAAATGTCATGCAGAAATATAATTATTCCTTCGTCAAAATATGAAGCAATAATGCTACCATATTCATCTGTTTACGTCGTGATAAGACGAGCATCGGCGCCCTTCGTGTCCCTTTCGCCGCGTTCTCCAAGGCCCTATATACCAGGTAGGGTCGTCCGGCGATTCTACCTTTTCGTGACGTCAGCTCGTGACGTCATTTGGAGTCAAGTCTCGAAGCCCCGTTCAATCCCCATGTAAATGAGCGATTTTCGAAGCACTGTAGAATGAAGTCTGCACAAGATATATCAAACTCAAGTATCGTATCTGAAAGAGCAGACAATTTTCTGCAAGTTATCTATTACGTGTTTTTCGCTAAATCTTTTGCTTTTTTCACAAAAGCGTAAAATGTCCCCCCTTGTCTCCGCAGCCTCCCTGCCGCCGGCCGCCGCGCGGTTGCGGTAGTGTAGTGGTTAGCGTGCCCGCGCAGTATTCCAAAGGTCCCGAGTTCGAATCTATGCGGTGCGGAACTTTAATTGCAATTCCAAGCTGAATATACGCACATCCATAATAAATTATTATTCGTATAGCTAAACTGTCACCAAGCTATTCATATAAATTGACTTCACCCAAAATATCGGCAAGATTCTATTAAAATATAAATTCAAATATGGCGGCTTGGACTGCCGCGTGCGTTAGGCTCCGCCCATAGCTCCGCCCACATGCGTGACGTCATTCGTGTTAGTGGACACGCAGAGAGATAGGGGACGACATGGGCCTGGCGTTCTCCACTGGCACGGCGGAGAGAGCGTGCATGTGGATTTTTAGAATTAATTTTTTTATTTGTTAACTGTTGTAGTGTGTTTGCCAGGTATCACTTAGCAATAAAAAAGATATTCTAGGAAGGTAAATATGGGTAAATATTGATCCCTTCTATCACACGAACTAGCTTTTAACGAATTAATCAAAATGGTTAATGCCAAAGTGCAGGTCGGTAAATGTCAAGTTTACGTCCTAAGCACATTTCAATGATATTTCTTTCATAATCTTACATATTTTGACATGCTGAATCCAAAAATCATACTTACATGTCTCGCAAGAACAAAATTATCACCAACACACTAAGCAATTACACCTTCCCACAACACACAATCAAAACAAATCGAGAGGAAATTGAAAGTGTCCAGCGTTGCCATTTGTGAAAAATATTTTGTCTTTTTTTAATGTCGAGAAATAAAAACATTCAATATATTATAAAAATAGATAGGAAATATGTAAAAAATATTTATTTAAAAAGAAATATTATTATTAGAAATAGAATAGCAAAACAACAAAGGGGAAATGTTGGGAACCGGGGTTATTGGGTGGGGAGGGTTAGAAAAACAGGGAAATGTTGGGGATCGGGGCAGGCCCATGTCACTCCACTTTTGATGACATCATAAGGGGGCCTCAGGACAATTAATGGCGCGGTGCGCCACAATCGCTCCCAAGCTACTTACCAACAGCTGCCATTTTTGAAAATACTTTTTTGAAATAAAGTTTCAAGTAATGAAAATATTGTAATAAAGTTGTAGCTTAAATCTATACCATATCTAAAAACTAACTGAAAAATGATTTATTCATAGTAAAAATATAAGCTCGATGCGTTTTTACGTTGCTTTCCTGCTGCTGCAGAGGGTTTTTAAATCGTCTATATCTTAAAAACCGGCCATTTCTTAGCATATTGCTACTCTTTTTTGTCGCTGAAAAATTGGTTGAGCTTTCGATTGCCATCAACGGTTGAGCGGTATGTGTAGAGTGCCATCAATAATCTTCAAATGAAGTTAGTCATTTTTACGTTGTAAAGGAATGGAGTACCCCTTGCGAGCATCAGGGGTGACGTCACTCAGGATCTGTCTCTGATTGGTCGGCGGGGGAGTGACTGTACCTTCTATAGATGGCCTTGGATCGGGGTTCATGGGTGGGGGAGAGAAAAAATGAAAATGACGTCATAGGGAAATGTCGGGAACCGGGGTTTGTGGGGAGGGGATGGAGAAAAATACGATAAGAATGGTTACAATATTTGGGAAATTTTACGAATCGGGGTTCTTGCCTCAAATCTAATTGTTACCTAACCTAACCTTACCTGACTTGACCTAACCTAACCTAACCTAACCTAACCTAACCTAACCTAACCTAACCTAACCTAACCTAACCTAACCTAACCTAACCTAACCTAACCTACTGATTTTTGCCTACCGGGGATAAGGAAAAAGTTGCTTGCAGGAATAGATTGCAGGCAAGAGTAAATCAAATATTTTTAGGTTAAGTGGTCATGCATCAGGCTTCAGGCCTTCGGCCTGAAGCCAGATACATAACCACTTAACCTAAAAATATTTGATTTACTCTTGCCTGTAATCTCTCCTAAGGCATTGCCTTCGGCACTGCGCTGCTTCGCCGCGAGAAATATTATGACGTCATTATTCACAGTTGAATAGCAACTGTTAGATATCATTCTTGATTTTGGCCAACTTTGCACAAGTAATCGCCCCCCAGTTCTCAGGATTTTCCTTTCCTCCCCCCCCCCCAGCCAATAACCCCGGTTCCCAACATTTCCCCTTTGTTGTTTTGCTATTCTATTTCTAATAATAATATTTCTTTTTAAATAAATATTTTTTACATATTTCCTATTTATTTTTATAATATATTGAATGTTTTTATTTCTCGACATTAAAAAAGGACAAAATATTTTTCACAAATGGCAAGGCTGGACACTTTCAATTTCCTCTCGATTTGTTTTGATCGTGTGTTGTGGGAAGGTGTAATTGCTTAGTGTATTGGTGATAATTTTGTTCTTGCGAGACATGTAAGTATGATTTTTGGATTCAGCACGTCAAAATACGTAGGAATGTGAAACAATTATCATTGATATGTGCTTAGGACGTAAACTTGACATATACCGTGCAGGTCTTGGTCTCGCGGGTTTTAGCGGTAGGTTTTGCCATGGATAAGAGATACCCTAATCCATGGTTTTGCCCATTTAGAATTAAATAAATTTCCGGCTATATCTTCTTCGTCTTAAGCTTATAAGGGTTGAAGATGCGATCGATTTATTCGTACACATGCCTGCCATGATCCTCTAAAATTGCTTCATCATGGATGGATACAGGATAAGTTTCTGAGATATAGCGGTAAATGTAAACAGGCAAAACCTAACTAACGCTTAAACCTGCGAGAGCCGTACATTGCATGTAATTTCACTTCACTTTGGTACTGTTGACCTAAAGGCTAAAGCCAGTTCAAGTTTGATTTTCAGAAGGAATCACTGGCTGCTGTCATTTTTATTCCAAAATCCAAAGTCGCCCAAAGTTCTTGGTCTTGGTAGATTGAAGCCTGAACTCTGAAGGAGCCGAGGGAAATTATCAATGACAATGAGGAATTGGATGGCTAATTAGGACGGTACTTGAAGAGTTGATACAGGCACTGACTATGACCTAAAATAACTAGCCTAACTTACTCTGAGCTCTAATATTGTTGATTCGTTCGTTTTCCAGGTCACGGTGTAAATTCGCCAACAACACGTAGCAGAAATGGAAGATAAAGCAGGATGGAAGGTGGAGATGCTGATGGAGAAGCTGCGAGCCAAGTCCTCCAACATAAGAACTCTCCAGGAGAGCTCTAAAAATCTCCGCCTGGCACTAATGGTAAGCAGCTGGATGTTTGGAAGGAGTACCCAGTCACCAGTCTTATTGGGCTGCAATGCTGCTACTCAAGGTACGATCTTCACTCATGGTATGACTCCTTTGAATCGCCCATAGCCCACAGTTTATGTATTCGGTCTTGGTGTGACTGGATGCGTTTGACCCCTTCCCCGTGCGGCCACCGCAGGACAAGCGTCAGACAGTGGACAGCGCCGACAGGGCGCAGCTCCAAAAGTGTCTGGACCAGCTGCAGGGCAAGGTCAAGTTTCACAGCCTGCAGGGCATGCTAGATCGCCTGGAGAGCGTCGCCAAACAACTCGGGTGGGTGTCCGGCCGGAAAACGCCATGTAGATGCCATCCAGTCAGGGATGACCTGGTATATGTACTCTTCAATCGGTTGATGCGTTTCAGGCATTAATTTGGAGCTAGATGCAGAACGTATCTTAATTTAGAAGCCACAACCCTACTGCTAATAGCATTTTCCGTTAGAGGTCTCAAGAATTTGCTGATTTCGGAATGTATTTGCTCAATATTCTGTAGAGTACTGCAAATATTGCCATTATTTACGGTAAATCGTACTCCCCACTGACGCCGCTCTCGGCGCGCCGCGGCAGGATCAAGTTCCGTCTGGGCAGCAGCGGCCAGGGGTGTTTCATCGAGTGTGACATGTTCTATGTGGAGCTGGAGCTTCACTCGCCGTCCGGTCAGGTGCGCGAGGTGAAGATCCAGCATCAGCCAGATCAGGCCACACCGCCCCAGGTGAGACCCCTCAGTGAACTGATCAGGCCGTGTCTCCCCAGGTGAGACCCCTCAGTGAACTGATCAGGCCATGTCTCCCAGGTGAGACCCCTCAGTGAACTGATCAGGTCACGCCGCCCCAGGTGAGACCCCTCAGTGAACTGATCAGGCCACGCCGCCCCAGGTGAGACCCCTCAGTGAACTGATCAGGCCGTGTCATCCCAGGTGAGACCCCTCAGTGAACTGATCAGGCCATGTCTCCCCAGGTGAGACCCCTCAGTGAACTGATCAGGTCACGCCGCCCCAGGTGAGACCCCTCAATGAACTGATCAGGCCGTGTCATCCCAGGTGAGACCCCTCAGTGAACTGATCAGGCCGTGTCTCCCCAGGTGAGACCCCTCAGTGAACTGATCAGGTCACGCCGCCCCAGGTGAGACCCCTCAATGAACTGATCAGGCCGTGTCATCCCAGGTGAGACCCCTCAGTGAACTGATCAGGCCGTGTCTCCCCAGGTGAGACCCCTCAGTGAACTGATCAGGCCATGTCTCCCCAGGTGAGACCCCTCAGTGAACTGATCAGGTCACGCCGCCCCAGGTGAGACCCCTCAATGAACTGATCAGGCCGTGTCATCCCAGGTGAGACCCCTCAGTGAACTGATCAGGCCGTGTCTCCCCAGGTGAGACCCCTCAGCTGACAGAGACGGAACGGCTAGAAAACGTGGTGAACTCAGGGTGACTGAAACGACTTGAAAAGCGGGCCGTTGTATGTTGTGTGTTGTTGATCTGGAGCTGCGGAGTATTTTTGGAAATATGATGGTCATCGGAAAGCGATAAACTGACACGCATCCGTGTAGTAATTACTGGTATGGTATTGGTATTGGATGTATGTATTGTCTCGACCCTCCTATCTTCTATCGTGCTGAAATAATGCGCGGACCATAAGTTGAAGCCTACGTCAAACGTTGCCGTCCTTATCCCATTGACTGATGGTGCTGTGAACTTAAGACGCCTAGCTCAGGTGTGTCAGGCTCTTTCCAATGCATCTTCCAATTAAAAGTATCACCACAAGACGTAACAGCTGTCAGTTGACCGCCCTCCCGTCCCTCCAGCCGTGCCCGGAGCTGGTGAAATGCCTCACCGCCGGCGACTTTGCCGAGTTCACCGCCCACCTAGAGGGCCTGCTGGCGCTCTACAAACTCAACGCCGACCGCAAGCTGAAGATGCGCGCCTACCCGGCGCTGCGTGCCATGGAGGAGGACCTGTCGCGCCTGGCGGCCATTCAGGCCACCTCCATCCCCGACCCGCGCTCGCTGGTCCACCGAGGGCCGGTGGGCATCGTGCAGCTGCGCAGACTCGGTGGGTGAGACGGGCGGGACCCGGGTCTCTGATGGGAATGTGGTGACTCACGCGGATGGGGTGTGGCTCGAGGGGAAAAGGGTTATTTTTTTTTAGTGAAAACGAAACCTAACTCTGCTATCAGCAGCTGCTGTTAATACTTTATTTTTTGTTCTCTTTTCAGGATTTTAACCCGCGCCCCGTTGGGCTCTGCCGAGCAACGCGCCCCGTTGGGGGGGGGGGGGCCATTTTGCCCCCCCCCCCCCTAAGATCTCGAGAACCACGCAACCTAGCGACAAGCGGCAAACGGTGTTGGATAGCCCTATCAGGGAACTACCTTGTGACCCAATTTTATTGACCTAGGTCAAACCGATGACGTCACAGGTCAGGTCAAAGGTCCAATTTTCACCGTTTACAGGCATTTCAAGGAATGCGTTGTAAAATCGAGTAAAATGCATTTCATTGAAAATCATCGATGGGCAAATGTTCTTCAAACACATATTTTGCTATTTGAGGTCACTGATACCAGGTCAGGTCACAGAGGTCAGGTCACGGGGGGGTCACAATATGAAAGTGTCGTGTGATACATGTTTTATGGTCCATTTTACATGACAAATGCGATTATGTGGGTCAGGCAGCCTTTGGGGCCAGCTTAGGTCACGTTTTGGTCAAGGTCAGGTCAAGGTCAGGTCAAATTAGGTCAAATTTCAAAGTTAATATTTTTGCATAAAATGGGTATCGAATGGATGCAGCTTGTCACGGGGAGTTCAATGGTGGTCTTTGTTTTGCCGTACGTGGTCTAGAATCGCTAAAAATTGAGTTCAAAAATTTGACGTCATCATTTTTGAACAGGTTTTTCGCTATAACTTGGCCAAAAAACGAGATATCGATCTGAAATTTGGTATGTATATAGAAGAGCGCAGGGACTATCACATGTATTCGGGTTTTTTCGAAATTCGGAAAAATTTTGGATTTTTTTTAGTTTTTCTAAAAAAATCAATTTTTGGATTTTTTGGGGGTCAAAAACCCAAAATTTTGAAAATCCGAGATAGCAGTTTTGTAGCGCCGCTTTTTGTCTACTAGACCATATAAAGAACTTTGAAATTGCTTGATAACTGTAGATTTGGTGAGCGTTTCAAGATTGCATGTTTTTTTGCTCATTTTTTGCTCGAACATGACCTCAGTTTGACCTCAATAACTCCTGACCTAAGGTGACCTAAGCCTTGAAATTTGGTGTGAAGGTGTCAAATTGATGCCCGGGAAGGTACTGAAAATTTGGCGGCGCTGCGCGCCGCCGTTTTCCTGCTATTCAGGAAAAACCACAGGGGAACGGGGCGAGGGTTAAATGTCGAGGTTCTTTCGGAAAATGCTTGAAGGTCGTTATTTTATTTTCTCTTTCATACAGTCCTAGACCCCTCAGCGAGAATGTTGTGTGTATCCGTCAGCGCCTTGTAAAGAAATGTTTTAAGTGCGATGCTGCGGGGTGGCCGCGTGGATTTATGGTGAGTGCCCTCTACTCGCTTGATATGCAATCCTAATTTGGGCGAATATCGGGCTGCCTCCCCAGCCCCAATCGATGCACTAATACCCTATGTATCATGCCAATCCTGTCAGTCTCCCGATTCCATTAAATCTCTCCCTGACCCCTTTCCTTCTGTCCAGGCCAGTATTGACGCACATGTTGCCCCTGCACAGGCCACCCGATGCGTCTGACGTACATGGTGACGCCGTACCACTTACTGGACGTGGAGAGTCGCCAGTTGCTGCCCCTCACCGTGGAAACAGTCACCTCGCGCGGACTGGGGCTCTGGGCCGAGGTGTGTCTGCAGAGCTCGACCGCGCACAAGTTGCAGACCACCGGGCTCATCAGCGTAGAGGAGAGGCCGGACGGAAAGAGGTGCGTGCTGGGGACTGGGTGGGGGGATCGAAGAGAGGCTAGAGAGGGAAGTTGGCTTGCGCAGAAAAAAAGCATTGATTTGCAGAGTAAACTTCTTTTGTGACGGTATCAGTGGAACTTGTACTCCCTGCTTCCAGATTGGCACTTAATGGTAGAAGATCGATACTGTGTGTTAGGATTTACATGGATGCTAACTTTGAGTGGTATCGTTCGATAATTCTCTGACGTTTCTTTGTGGTGTTTCGTGGGTATAATCGTGAACAGTGTCTGCTAGGCTCCAGAGCAACTGACCTCGTAATCGACGCGCCCCAATTAATTAGCCCCCAAGTGATGGGCTCCAGTATACCGTCATCCTCACTCCCCAGTCTAACACTGTGATTGGTTGCAGTGTGCCGGTCTACTCTCAGCTGAGCAGCTCAAACAGCTGCACTCTGCCGGCCACCTTCGTACTCAAACTCTCCGAGAAGATGGCCATGTCCGCTGAAACGCTGGATAAAATAACCGAGGTAGGCACGGTGTGTTTTCGTGGCCGTTAGATCGTCTGCAGTACGTCCTGTGTAAGTGTCTACCGTGTAATGACTCCGTATGCCCGTCCGCTGACTCGCCGTCGCCAGTACTCCGCACTGTCTACGTCTGTGCGTAATATAATGTGTTTTATGTGTCATCTCTCAGATCACCAGTATCCGGCCGACGGAGGCGCCCGTTGCACAGAGTCTGCTCTCTCTGATCGCCCGCGTCAGCTCGGACGGCAAGATGGAGGGGCGGCCCGACCAGCCACTCTATGTGGTGAGTGGTCAGCCCCTTTGGAGAGCGTCAAACGACAGCCTGGCATTGTAATCCATTGTTCCAGAATGCTCGACGCATGTAAATGATATTTTTGAATTACAGAGGAACTTACCCAGTAGCGGCGGAACACCTTCCATGCCTTCAATTAAAGGGGGGCACTGCCGACTTTTGGTCGCATTCTTTCCATGCAACGCCCATAGGGCTAATCTATATACGGCCTTGGGGCTAATGTTAAAGTAACAAAATCGAAGGGGGCACGGTGCCTCGGTGCCCTCCCCGTTCCGCCGCCTATGAACTTACCTCCCATTCATATTTACTTCCGCTTTGCTGCATGACTCGAATCGGTTTTCATTCGTAACATGGTTTATCACTGACACCCTGACTCCGTTTCCCCGTGTGCCGCAGCAACTGCCGGACGCGCTGCACTGCTACTACATGGAGGGCGGCGCCGAGCTGGTGGGCGCCGTGGTGGACGCCGTGCCCTTCACCCACCCGGCGCACGTGCCGCCGCTGCTCACCGTGCTGCGCGCCCAGGCGCTCTTCAACACGCTGGTGGCCAGCTGCGTGCGCACGCAGACGCCCAAAGGTACCGGACAGAATGTCAGGCCGGCCGGCAGTTGGGAACCCGGGGTGGGAAGGGGGAGGGGGTCAAATAGTAAATGGCGTGACACTGAAAATGAAGACATGCTGAGGTTTGGGTGATGTTTTGTCGTTGCCTTTTCACCTTATTCCGTTTGCAGCTATTGTGGTGGATTTACTGATATACTCGTACTTGTAATGTGCTGCTTGGATTTGAATGTCTTATTCTTCGTCAGCGCTGGAGGTACAATTTCAAACCACTGAGTTCCTTCTCATTGTCGGTACTGACAGTGTATGTCCCCTCCCGCAGTCACTGACGCAGGGCGCCGTTTGTATGGAGCGGACGTGTGTGTGTGTGCTCCTACCAGTTACGGTACTGATTGATGTCTGTTCCTCGCAGTGACGGAGGGCGCCGTCTGTACCTATGGAGCTGACGTGTGACTGCTCCTCCCAGTGTCTGATGTCTGCCCCTCTCAGTGACGGAGGGCGCCGTCTGATGCAGCGGACGTGTGTGTATGTCCCTCGCAGTGACTGCTCTGACTGATGTCTGCTCCTCCCAGTGACGGAGGGCGCCGTCTGTATGGAGCAGTGATGTGTGTGTATGTCCCTCCCAGTGACGGAGGGCGCCGTGTGTATGCAGCTGACGTGTGTGTCTGTCCCTCCCAGTGACGGAGGGCGCTGTCTGTATGGAGCTCACCGCCATGGGCGGCTCGCGGCTCTCCATATCGTTCGAGCACCCACAGGAGGATGCGCTGGCCACACTCGAAGTCGACCTGTCCAGCTCGCCTCGCTGCCGTCTACACACGGCCACACACAGCGACTTTGACCAGGCGACCGCCGTCCTGCAAAAGTAAGTCACCACACAGATGGCAGGGAGGGGCGATAAGACCAGCTGTTACGAAATGAATAGCTTGGCTTCTGAATATGTGCGCATTCTTTGGTAATTTCCGCTTTTTTAACATCAATTTTAGTGGTTTGGGTGTAGGTGCATTATGGTATTTTGTTTATTTTAATATTCCATCAACTGGGGGGTAATCAGTTTTCTACGAACTTATGCGATGGAATTTAGGCATCTTCTATCAGAATATTTAATTGCTGTTTCTCGGGATACTCTTCGTGATCACCTTCATTTAAGAGCAATGTGGTTCCCATGTTGGCGCTATTTTTCTGCTTCATTGTTATTCCTGATACGGCCGCCCAGTCATCCACGTTGTAATTTAACTTACCTCCTGTTTTGCACAGCACACTGTGGTCGGCACGGAGTAGTAATCTCACGACTCCCGCCCCTCGCCGCCAGGTGTCTCTCCATCCCCGTCACCATGCGCGCCCTAATGAAGCGTCTGCGCGGAGCGGCCGCCGGCCGACGGGACGCCAAGCCGGGCCCGGCCGTGTCCTCTGCCGGCGCCACCGACCCGCCCGGGGACACGTCCGACGTCAAACGAGGGACCGACGCGGCCGCCGACTCCGGGTCGTCGCTGGGGTTTTCCACGTACCCGCCGTTCGGGCTGAACCAGATGCAGGGCCTGTGGCCGGGCACCACGGCCACGGCCACCGCTAGCGCCGCCGCGCCGGCCGCCACCACGGCGGCGTCCTCTGCGCCGGCCTCTGGCGGCCCCAGCGCGGCCAGCACGCCGGCGGCCGTGGCCACGCCGAGTCCGGCGCCCACGCCGTCGCCGCTGTCGGCGCCGTCCCCGGCCGAGAGACCGCGGCTGCCGTCTGCCGGCCGTGCCGAAAGTCCTCAGCCTCCCCCGCCGCCGCCGCCGCCACCAGCGCCGCAGTCAGAAATGGAGGGTATCGAGGCCACCGTGCGGCAGCTGGAGCGGGAGCGGGCGCGCCGGCCGGCCGACGAGCCTTCCCCGCGCGCCGCCGACAAGCGCACTGATCTGTTCTCGTTTCCCGGCGGCGGTCAGCCCAATATTCCGCCCTCGCTGACAATCACCCCGATACCGAACAGCCGACCGGACGAGCGTAAAAAGGAGCGCAAAGACAAGGAGCGATCGGACAAGAAGCGGCGCCGGGACGAGTCCCCCGGCGGCCGTACGACGCCGGGCCGCGAGCGGGAACGAGAGCGTGGGCGTGAGGGTGGCGGCAAGCCGATGGCCATGAAACAGGGGGCCTCTCCGCCGGCCAAGAAACACTCATCGAGCGCCGGCAGCTCTCCGAACAAATCTCACGGGTCGTCATCGGGGAAATCATCCAGTCCAGTGCCAAAATCAAAATCGTCATCGTCATCGTCATCGTCATCATCATCCAAGCACGGCCATCTGACCGTCTCCCCGAAGCACTCATCGTCACCGAAGCATCCCAGCGCCAGTCCGAAGCACGGCTCGTCACCCAAGCCGCCCAGCTCGGGAAAGCCGAGCCTGTCGTCGCTCCGCTCGCCGTCTCCGTCACACCAGTCGTCGTTCCGGAGCAGCGGATCGTCGGGGAAGAGCCGCGACAAGAGCAGCAAGGACAGGGCCAAGTCACATCGGCCGCGGCCGGAGCGAGAGGGAGAGGGCGGCTCCAGCTCGCGGTCGGCCCCGTCTCCGGCCGGTAGTGGCGGCGGTGGTGGCAGCGGCGGCGGCAGTGGGGATCGATCATCAGCGTCGTCCGAGTCAAAGTCGCCTGGACGATCTCGGAAGACCGGTTTGTTGAACGATGTCATTAGCAAACTGAACAATACTCTGGCCACGGCCGAAGAGGCCGGCAAGGAGGGCGTAGGAAAGGACGGACGAAGGACAGAGTTTACCGTTAAACCGTCCTCGGAGGGGATCAAGCTCACGATCAATAAGACCAAGTCTCGGTCGTCTTCGTCCAGCCCCAGCAGCGGCAGCAGAGCGCCGAGCTCAAAAGACGGAGAGAGGAACTCTCCATCTGGTTTAAAACCAGGCGTCGCCAGCGGGCCCGCCTCCAAGAAGACGTTCGTGTTCCCGAAGCAATCGAGTGGCGACGGCAAACACTCGTCTTCCAGCACACTCAGCGATCTGCAGAAGAGCCTGTCGGCCAAGATGATGAAGCGCCCCGAGTCGGCGAGCGGAGTGCGGCCTCGCAGCGACAAGCACCGCTCGGACAAGACGGCCGCCGAGCTGGCGGTGGGCGGCGACCTGCCGCCGCTGCCCAAGTCGCTAGAGATCCGCAAGATCGAGCGTCCGGCGCCGGCAGAGCCGAGCGCTCCGTCCGGCGGCGGGGCGGACCTATGGCCGCCGGCCGGCGCGCGCACCGCCTCCTCGGCCGACTCCGGAGACATGGGGTCGGAGCTGGGCGGCGAGCCGCGCCCGCCGCCGCCGCCGCGGCCGCCACCCGTGCCGCGCGCCTCGTTCCCTCCCTCGCCGTCCGTACAGATCCACATCGTGAAGAGCCCGGCGCCGGTGGCGTCGCCGCACCAGTTCTCCAGTCTGGTGTCGCCCCACTCGTCGGCCGCCTCGCCGTGCGTCATCGACGACGAGCTGATGGACGAGGCACTGGTGGGGGGCAAGTGACGGGGGTGGCCGGCCGGCCCGCCGCGCGCTGTCGTCGCCGCCGGGGCCGGCCGCTGACGGGCGGGCGGAGCTTCCATTGGGCCACGCTGAGCAGAAACCATACCGGGCACCGGCACACTCCGGCCGTAACCGCAGCAGGAGGAGACAAGCCGGCAGGGCTGTCCGGAAGGGACTAGTCGGACTGGAACGGAACGCTGCAATACGAGTTCGTCTTTTTTGTGCCGTATTGGTTCCGATACCGTTGACAGTTTATCCCGTATTCCTTTCATGAGTTCGGTATTGAAGCGCTCTTCGGTTAGGACGGCTTGCAAATGTCTGAAAGTCCCTGTCTGTGTGGTTTTTCTGTTGCGTGTCTGGTATGTGAGCTCCCCCCGCTTTAATATTTACTCATGTCGTTTCTTAGCTCAAGTCTCCCTTCGCGTCTGTGACTGAAGTCAGGGTCGTGCGTCAGTTTGGCTGGCTGGCGAGATAGTCCCCTCTCTCACCGGTCATACCGTATCTCAACGGGAGCTGGGACTAGGGCGTTCCACCGAGGGCGAGGCTAGGCCAGTTCCGTGACTCACTGATCAAAATGACTGACTGACTCCGAAAGGCAGTCGCGGTAACAGTGTACAGAGATTATATGTATGTACAGCTGAGCACTTCTCATATTTCTTGTAGGACTAAACCGCAATGTTGACTCGGCAGATTGGTGTCGACGCGAATACGTCATGTGTTTGTCTCCGCTCGAGATTCGCGGGTGGAGGGTGATAGTTGTGATGCGTTTCACATCCGGCCACCGTGCTCCAGATTCCCGGGGCGATATTATTTTTTCGTCTCGCGTCTTGTAATATGCGTCACACGGACTGTGTTCCCAGTTGGAGTGGACGGTTGACGGCACTATCCTGTACTGTCATGCATTCTTTGGATTGCTCATTTTTTTGTTTGGCCCGTGTGCTGTGATTTTCTTCGTTTTTGAGAGCAATGTTACGGCTCCTGTGGGCAGTTCGCTGAGCAGGAGCCGGGCGCAGCTCAAACCGGTACGGTTTCCGCCACGTCGACTGCAGCTCATCATCTGCGTAGGTCGCTTCTTTAGTCCTTATCCTATCAGCTAAAAAGGTGCGTTCAGTGGCGGTGGTACCGAAACTTGGAGCGTCCACAGGCATTCCATCCTCAGAAGTCGTTCTGGCGCCGGTTCATGCTGTTGTAGTAGTTGTGTGCATATTTGTCTAACTTGTGTCCGTGTGGAATAGATTGCAAGGTTACAGTATCATTGTTTGTACCAAGATACTCGATACGAGCGGGACCCATAGGCCGAGTGGCCTTATAACCCGATGACCAACTAAGGTAAGGTACGGTAAGGTAAGATTCTTACAGATACAAGATTCTTACAGGTTTGCACCACACAATCCGCAGATTTCTTCACATAAGGGTCGTAGGTCGACTTGTGCATTTTCATAGGTTTCGGGTATTGCTACGGTTAATGCCACGCTACAAGTGAAGAAAATTGGTTGCAAGGCAAAAGAAATGTGAAACGAACAAACGGATAAAAGCAAAAGGCTGGTTCACAGTTTCATCAGAGCGATACGTATATCGCGTGTGGGAAACTAGCCGCTCTAAAGAAGCAGCTGCTAAATTAAAGTTTCGTAATGAATCACCGACTGCGCCACTAATGTAACTAAATCGCAAGATCTGAATTCCATTGGACAGATGTGGGATTTGTGTATACAATGGGGCGTTTTGTAAATTGGAGGTGTGGTCATCGGAATAGATAAGAGGGATTTTGTGAGTATTTTATATTTCAGCTTCAGATCAAGATTTTCAATTCGTCGAAGTGATACTTCAAAAATTCGCTACTTGTTTTTGTTTGATTATGATTGAGCTTGTATTCAATCAGATAAATAAATGGGCCCAGGGGCCAGGCTGAACTCTGAAGCTATTTCATTTCAGGGTGATTTTCCCTGTTCCAAGTTCATTAACTTTTGTTTTGGTATGGTATCAGTATTAAATCCTGTAAGACTATTGATAAAAGATGTAATAGTTAACTTTTGCATTTCATGTTGATGTTTTATTGTGTTGTAGGTACGGTACATTCTGGCCACTTCATGTCAGTCCCACGCACAAGGGGGAAAAGCTCAAATTATTGAGTGCTCAAAATATTGAGCGTGTGACGTCAGAGGCTCCCATAGGCGTAATGCTGAGGGCTCAAAAAATTGAGCCGTTTCAGGAACACGTTTTGCAAAAGCAACTCGCAACACCTAGGGAGAAATGGCAACACCCTAGGAGAATCACTAATGATGCAAAACAGATTAGGCTTTCATATTTTTCACTGCTCAAGCTTCAATGATTGGGGGAACACCAATTTATAGGTCGAAATCTTACGGCATACCAGGATGACCTAAAAACAGGCCAATATTTATGTCGAAATAAAAGTTATTTTTTGTCCATTCACGTTTTTTACTAGGGTTCTGTTGGAAAGAGCATTTTTCATACTACCCAAAATGATTGCGACTCAATTTCACATTACCCATATCGGAGAATATTTTTCATTTGGCGGCGCCGTTTGTTTATTTCGTCGCGACGTCTCCGGCCGTGTGGTCGTCGTCGTCCTTGTGTTGAAGGTAAGTTTTTATCGTTTTAGTTATACTTTTATGTTAAAAGGTACACTGAAAAGTTTGAATATGCTGTGATTTTAAATTTGGAAACACGTAAACGTCAATCAATTCACGTTTTCCTCGATTTGCGTGCAGATAAGTAACTGTCGACGAAAGTGGCGCCATCCGATATGATGTTTTGAAGGAAGGAGACACAACATATTTACGTGAAAATTTTTGTTTTTTAGTGGTCTAAGTGCTTCAAAGAGGCTGTGAATGTTTTCTTCACACAATTTTTCATTAGGTAGGATGAGGTAAAAGGTAGTTTCAGTCTTAACTTTCATATAATTGACATGAAAACATATGGTAGTCCACTGCTATCAGTGATTGAGTACCTTGATATTTGGCATTTCTTATTAATTTGAGCGTATTCTCTATCCATATGTCCTGATAGTAAGTGACAATACTCTGCCAATATGTTTCCATAGTTTTCACATTCATTTTCCAGTCCTTTACATAACATCACAATTTATAATCAACAAAACTCAACTCCTTCGTTACTTCACAACACTGACAGCATGACAGACTGACAGTCAACTATTGTGTGTGTGAATGCTGAAACAGGATAGCCACTTTGCTGACTGGCTCATATGAAATAAGATAAAAATGATCCTTTATATCATTTCCATCTGGAGGATCGAAGTCAACGGAAAAGGAAGGCCACTTTTAAGCCTGAAGGTCTAGGCCGCCAGATGCCAGTCGGCAGTCACCACCAAATTTATAATAGATTTATTCATTATTATACTTTGAGACCCAAAGGTCACTGGATCGGCATCACATTTTCAGTTTCAATATAGTAAAGGCTTTTTATTTGTATGATGTGAAATATTTTCATGAATCAGAATTTAATTATCCCTAGGTACCTGGTAGAGGTTTCGGATTTAATGCTCATTGTTGGTGTGCAGTCAGGATTTTTTGACAGGTCCAGATAGGGAATCCTGAGCAATTTTATAGTAAAGTGGTCTCCTTATAATCACCACACATTTTATCAAAAGTATTTGCAGAACTCATTCAATGAAGAATTTTATCAATGTTGCACTCATTTCTTAGACGACCTAGGCTGCATCTTTTTTTAGTTCCTGTTGTATGACATATTTTCCATTTTCCACTGCATAAAGAAAAAAATCGTTTGAGATCACCAAACAGCTTTTCTTTTTCTGGCAGGTCTGCACAACCAAGCGGTCGCTGGCGAGGACGTCGGCCGTCCTTGTGGGTAAGGTCATCTGCTCAGCCTTTGTGGAGATCAGCAAGACGTCACCAAGATGAAGACTTCGCTGGAGCAGAAGCCGCTGACCCGTGTCCGATCGGGCAGGTCATGCTCGACGGCACGAGCCACAACTTGAACGACTTGGTGACATCAACAACATGGTGGAGCAGGTGAATGAGTTTGGCGACGTGTTGTGCGACTGCAAGAAGGGTTGTCTGCGTGTTCTGGCCGGCGGAGCGGCGACGCTGCGCAGTCTGTGCTGGCGGTGAGCAGCTGGCCGTGCTGACCGCGCGCGCCCACATGCGCCGACAACCTGTGCGGCTTCGACGGCCCCGGGACAGCCCGATGCCGCCCACTATGCGACGCCGACCGCGCACTGTCCGCACGGCCACATGGAGGTGTGCCCGCGCCTTTTGCCCGCACGCCGCTACCTCGCAGCTGGTCTGCAACCACGCCGTCGCCGCCTGTAGCCCGATAACAAAACGGCTGTCTGAAAATGCCGCGTGTTCTTTGTGATGTTGCTACTGTGATGGTTGCTACTGCTGGTCTGAGACTCGATGTTTCCATTCGTCCTTTACATGTTAAGGATTTGATAATGATTAGCTTAGTCCGAGCTTAGGTCGTTTATATCATTTGTTATATGGCATATTTTGGATCAAAGCAGTACGACACTGCCTCCTGCTTTTGTGATGTATGCTGGCAAGACGCAGGTTCCGGTCGCAGGTCACCCGGTTCCAATGTGGTCGGGCTGGCATGCGATAATGTGATGTTGTTTTGCTCGTCTCTGTGTTCCACACTTGATGATGTTTGTGAATCTAACCCACATTGTATAGTATTTTTGTTTGTTTGCGGCCGATAGCCTTGTAAGTTGTAACCGTGGCAATACAGTTTTTCCTGCTATAATTCTCCAATATTCAAGCGTGGGTGGATATCTTTCTGTATTCACGTATTCCCTTCTTCCAGTACAGTCAGAGAATATCAATACAGTATTCATACGGATTATTCAAGCCCTGTATAATTATTTGAGGTGTGCCGAATCCGAAACGCGACCGATAAAACTACTAGCGGAAAATGTGACATGATGCCATGGGTTTGTGAAAAGTTTAGGTACCACGTAGCATTCAACTTACTGCATTTCTGTTTCAACTCAGTTTAACGTATTTCAACGAACATAACATCAGAAATGGCAGCCAGTACCTGCTTCACCTGTCACGGAGAACGCTCAAAAAATTGAGTGTAGATGCTGGCCGGCACTCAATTTTTTGAGCGCCAGCTGACTGTCGTCTGTCGTGGCGCTCAATTTATTGAGTATCGCGGTCCCGAGCGACAAGTGGCGCTCAAAAAGTTGAGCGTCTTTAGGGCATTTTCTTTCCAAAACACCGATATGAATTATCACGGCAAGTGTTCGAGAAGAAACCTTGTTGCTCTCTCTTGCCATTGATACCTTATTTGGATACGATATTTGCCGTAGTGTGACGCTAACGGCATTGTAAAATACCATCGTTTCGCCTATTCCTTCATAATGGGGCCCGCTCAATTTTTTGAGCGCTCAATTTTTTGAGCTTTTCCCCCTTGTGCGTGGGACTGATGTAGGATGATACTGACTACTGAGAGCTATGCCAAGGGCTTAGGAGAGTTGCACGCATTTCGTTCAATGGTTGTAGGTAGACCAGAGTGTCTATCTGTTTCCATATTTTTAACAGCAATCTCTTGGCCATACAGGGACTGAATATACGCAGGCACATGTATTAATTAGGACTGCTTTGCATAAACTTAATGATTTGTTTTCTTACACATACTTGCATAACCATAATTAGATTGTGTTTTTATTTACAACTTCTTTGAGTGTGCTTTATAAAACCAAGCTTT